CCTCCTGGCCAGCAGCCTCTTCCCCGGGACCCAGCCAACCCCACGCCACTCCCTGGCACTGTATCCACCAGGGAGCACGCCTCTGGGGCCACGGCAGCTGTGGTGGACCGGCTGGCTTCGACCCATTTCTCCCTGAAAGGGAAGCTCGGCGGACGAGTCTGACTGGATGAGACCGAGAGGAAGATCGGGGAAGAAGGAGCGAGAGGGGAGGCGGACGAGGGTCGGGGTCACGGAGAAGCCAGAGGAAGAGGAGCGAAACAGAGGACACGGGCTCTCCCCTCCTCGCCACCCTCCCAGCGTGGGCGTCCCGAGCACTGCTGCGGCTCGGCGGGGCCGGGTGACAGAGGTCACTTCTGGTCTCCTCTTGCCGATGGCAAATGCCCACGGGGACTCCCAGAACCTTCTTCCAGGTATTCTGCACTTTCTTCCTAACCTCTTTCCTGTAACAGTCACTCTCAGGACCGTCCAGACATACAGAAATCCCCACACCACCACCAGGCTGGCTGGGTTCAGTCACGCAGGTTGGGCACTGCACAATCCCAGGCAGCACGAAACAGCTCCCAGGGAGTCGTGCGGCCCTGCAGCCCTGCCCTCCCACTCCTGGCCCAGACGGGGAGGCGAGTCTTCTTGCTGGCTGGGACGAGAACTGGGACGGTCAGCCCAGCCTCATGGAGAAGAGGCAGAAGGTCACTGGCAGTCAGCAGATCGGGGCAGGCCTAAAACCAGACCACTTCCACAATGAGAGCTCAAGCCTCGGTGCCGTTCAGGGTCTAACACTGCCCAGGACCTGCGTCTACACCGGCAGAGCGGGAAGGAACCTGGGGTGGCCAACCGCCTGCTGAAAGGGAAGCCATCCGAAACGAAGACGCTTTGCCTCTGTGAACAGAGAGGGTGGTGATGGCATCTTGCTGGCAGCAGTGGGAGCCGAAAACGAGGAGGTTGTTGGAGGCACGAGGATGCCTGGGCCTGGAGCCAACCCCACCTCCCATCTCCAGGCAGTACTCAGCCTCTCCCTGCTGAGGCTCAGGGTGGGTCAGAGAGCAGGGCTGCTTGTGGTCAGGCCACTCTGCCCTGGGAGGAGGCCTGTGAGGCCAGGAAGCTGGCAGTCCCCTCGGCTGGGCTCGGAGCAGTCACCTCCAGTTCTGGAAGCCCAGATGCCCCCAGCCCTCTGCAGGAAGGCGGTGACCATGCTGCCCAGGGGGGCGGAGGGGCCCGGGCTTGGTTCCCAGAAGGGGACTGTGTCAGGCCCACGTGCGCCATTTAAAGTGCGCTGTGTGAGACGTGAGGTCGCCACACGGTAAGCCACAGACGCACTGCCGGGGCCACCCCCTGTGGGAGACACCATGGCAGGACTCTGTTTTGAACAGGCGAGCCTGGGACTCTAAAATACGCACCTAGAGTCTAACTGACAGGAAGCAGAAACGAAAAGAGGCCGACCCCGCGCAGGCTGGAGGGGGCCGCCCACTTGAGGAGACGTTTTTGTGTTTTGTTTTGGAGTCGGGGTCACACTCTGTTGCCCAGGTTGGAGGGCAGTGGCACGATCATGGTTCACTGCACCCTAACAGCCTAGGTTCAGGTGATCCTCCCACCTCAGCCTACTGAGTAGCTAGGACTACAGGTGCACGCCACCATGCCCGGCTAATTTTTTACGTTTTGTAGAGACAAGGTCTGGCTCTATTGTCCAGGCTGGTCTTCAACTCCTGGGCTCAAGTAATCCTCCTGCCTCAGCCTCCCAAAGTGTTAGAACTACAGGTATGAGCTACTGTGCCTGGCCACTGTTCTAGGTTTTTCTTTGGGGGACACTCGAGTGACTGGGAGAGAGAGCTCTGTCCTTCCTCTACGCCCCTCAACCTGCTGCCTGGTGCACCCCAAGGTGGGCGATGTTGCAGACAAGGCAGTTCCTCCGGGGCTCCCAAGGAAGCTTTTCCCCTTGGGGGTGAGCTCCTCAAGCAGGTACAAGTGAGGTCGGGGTTGAGGTCAGCCCAGGAGGGGCCACGAAGGCCAGTTCCCTCTCCTCCGTGAACTGCACTGCACCCTTTGGGGTCTCGGGGCAGCATGCTGGCTTTCTGGCTATTTCGGGGTGCTCAGGCCGTGGCAGGCCTCCCC